GATTTGGGAGTTCCTGTTGCTTCACCAGGTGACTGCAGTATGGAGTGGACCTACCCCAACATCTGAGGTTCAGGCTAAGAGCTGTCTTTAAGAGAATAGGGGAGAGTCTGGTCCACTGCTGTATCTCCAATGCCTTACACAGTGCCTGGCAAGTGGGACCCCCAAAATATTTGTGGGATGAATGAATAAGTCTCACTTGCTGAGTGTCTATTTTTTTAAAAAACCCTTCACCAAGAAATGTGAACAGAAAGAGATGAAAGGAGGATGATTATTCACTCTTTTTTTTTTTTTTTTTTTTTTTGGAGTTGCACGTCAAAGAGGTATGCTTCTACCCCAACCACTACTGAGAGGAGTGACATTCTGTAGATTCCATACTGGGTGCTGTTCCCAACTAAGTCTGCATGGATTCTCACTTGGTTACACGTTAGGAAACTGAAGAGCTAGCTACTTTCCTTGGTTGCTTGGAGGTCAAAGTCCTGTAGTAGACCTATTTTTCAAAAGTGGAAATCTGGTTCGTTGCTAATAATAATGACTATTGTTAACTTTAGTTATTCTTCCTTCCTCAAAGCTGGAACATTGCCTAAATTTATGGGAATTCCTTAAGACTCTTTGCATTTTTCCCTGAAGGAAAAACTGTATGCGGAGGTGCTGGGCTTAGGAGAGAGGAGCATCTCACATAAGCCATCTTTTTTTCTTTATAAGGAACTCTAAGATGGAACAGAGTTCTCAGGTAGCAAAAGTGCTCTTTGAAGGAGACACCTAGGAGTGACTGAATTATTGATTTTTTATAGAATGTCAAAGGGAGTAGATTGTACTGGATGCCATAACAGGGATGGGGTTCCTGGGGTTTAATTGAATCTTGGGGGAGCTCAGTGGCCTCAAGGCATACTATTACCCCGATGCCACTTTTTCTTTAGTCAGACTATTTATCTTCCTGTTTTACATTTGGGAATCCTATGTAATATATTATTTGGAAAAACTGGATGTAAATAAAGGTTGAAACTACTGTTAAAGAGAAAAGACAATGGATTTTGCTCTTGAAGAGAGTTCTTCAATTTCTAGTTTTCTCATTCTCTGGGAACGTGGACATTTTCTTAAGAAAATGATTCAGAGGTTTTGTTTCCTCATTTATAAAATGAGGTTGGTGTGAGAATTGGGTGTAAACTCTGCAGGCTATATAAGCCATCCTTTCTAAGTTTATGGCAGAAACAGCACCGTTTTCTTAGGAATGGAAGTGGCCTCATAATCTGTCCAACAGTGTGCTCCAGGACATCAAAGTCCACACATGAATCGAGGCACATTTACTCTCCCTTAAGACCTTAAACCAAAAAACTAAGTATAGAAGGTATTTAAATAAAATGATTTTAAGAATGTTAGGGGAAATGGTTATATCATGTGACCACAAGCAATTTAGCTTGAGGCAGCAGTTAGTAAAAATCCCTTCAAATAAGGATTTATTAATGAAATAATAGCTAACAATGACTAACTTTATTGAGTGGTTACTATGTACCAGGCATGTTCTATTCAGTTTTTCATGAATTAACTCATTGAATCCTCCCAATAACCTCTAGAGTAAAAGACAGATCTCATAACAGCATGACATGGATTCTGATACATTATTTTAGGATGGCCTTGGTCCTTTTGTGATTCTCTTTAAAATGACAATTTAGCATTTAGTACTTATATATTAATTTTATTTTGGGAAATGAATTTCATCTGACTTGATAAACTATTAAGAAACAGCAGACTCATGGTACTAGTGGATTTAACGTATGCCATTTTGGCCCTTTGAAAGTAATCTTTGTCATGTTGCAGGCCCATAATGTAACATAATTTTTCTTTTTGTTGAGTTACCAGTTTGAATTGTGTGTTATGAGCCTGGTGTTTGGAGTGGGTGACATAGCCAATGAATGAGCCTAGGAAGCTGCGTAGCACTCCATTCACTTCTGCTTTGTTGTTCTTTGCTTTTCATCACAAACATATTTTGTGGCAAAACTGGATGCTATTCAAGATTTGGTCATTCACAGTTGTCTTGGGTTATAGCGGGAGTTAATAACTGGCCAGTGTGCACTGGTACGAATATATTGAAACATGTTTGCACTAGTTGTTAAGATAGTGAACTTGGTAAATACCTGTTGCCTCAAACACCCAAGCTTCTCTTCTTTCCTCCCAGCTACTCCCCTATAAGGCTTGCCAGGTAAAATATAGGCTTCCCACTTACATTTAAACTTCAGATAAATTGTTAACAATTTCTTTAGCTTAAGTCTGTCCCATGAAATATTTGGCACACACCTATATAAAATATGATTTGTGGTCTTTGTAAAATTAAATATAACTGGGCATCTCATATTTATATTTGCAAAATTTGACAACCTTATTTCACTTGGGACTCAGACCAATTCATAATGCAGCATTAATGGGTGAAATCTTAGACTGCGTGGTCTTGCAGATTCTTTCTCCAGGACCTAGGCCAACTCAGCATCTGTTCTGACTAGTTGGTGCTCTTGCTGTACATCAATTAATATTTTTAATATATGAGATCTGTCTGGAAAAAGTCCAACCACTGATAATGTAATGGAAATGGTTTGTGCAACATCAATGTAAAGTGGCAGCCAAGAAGAGAGGACTGGAATGCGCAAGCATGAACAATGATGCATCCAGACCATATCCAGACAGCATCAGGTCATGTAATATGAAAAATAGAGACATTCATTGACAAAGATACAAGGTAGAAGAAACATTGAACAAAGGACAATGATCCCTCAGTCCTCTTCAAAGTCGCACCTTGGAACCTCACACAGTTCTCCCAGTCTCCACCAGCTGCCCCATTGTATTTTCCTGAATTTCATTCATGGTTTGAAATCTCTTCCCTTTCAAAGATGATTTTAGTTTTGGGAAAAGCCAGAAGTCTCAGGGCACCAAATATGGGCTGTAGGGGGCCTGAGTCACCTGGGTGATTTGATGTTTCCTCAAAAAACTCTGCATAACAGGTAATGCATGAGAGAGCACGTTGTCATGATGAAGCTGCTACTCACCAGTTGCCCATAGCTGTGGCATTCTGAATCATCCAAATAGTTTCTGTGGAGTAATGTTCAAGCTTAATACAACATTTGATGCAGATTCGTTGTTCTACTCACTCAGTCATTTTGACTGCAATGGCCATAAAGTACACATCTAACCCAATGGCATCTACCACCCTCACTGACTAGTACAGTGAAGTAATCATTGTTCATGCATGTGCCTTCTAGTCTACTGTACTTGGCTGCCACGTTATATCAAAGTTGAACAAATCATTTTCGTTATATTAACAATGGTTAGAATTTTTCTGGACAGACCTCATAAATTTCTGGCATAACTCTAGTTATTGTCAAGGTTCTATCTACCTTAGACATTTTAACATCATGCAATATTTTAGTCCACTATGCAATTTTTTGGGTCAATTCTTGGACAAATAAATGACAAAAACTCAGCTACAAAGTAACTGAATTACTACACACACTCAAACTTTTTGGAAGAGCTATGAATCTCTACAAACTTGACAAAGTTCCTTGCTTGTATCATTCAAATTGACAGCCATTACTTTACATCAAAGTAACTCTGTGCCTCTAAAAATCAGTTCTTACATGTAATTTTGCCATCTTGATACAATAGCCAAGTCAAACGGTGATTGCGTATGAATCTTGCTATCTACAGAAAATGCGTATCTGAAGAGTGGTCTGGGAATACAAGCATTTTAAGGCAACCATGTTCTTAATGTTTGTTTCCCAAAATACTTTTCACAAGGTAGTAATTATGAGACAATTACCATTGTTTCATGGGAAAAGTGTTCATTTAGTTGTTTGTGCTTGGGAAACAGTGGGTTTAACACAGTTTATCAGGTTCCTTTTCAGTTATATATGTTTGAGACTTTTATATGTGCAATTGTGAATCTCCAGAGAAAAGCTGTATGTATGTGGAAGTATGTCTAGTATGTTTTTCTCTGTGTGTGTGTGCGTTTGTGTGTATGGCTTCACATTTCCCACCTTTATTTTAGCCATTATTCTTGTTTCAAAGATACACTTTCAAACTTTGCTGCAAATTCCTGCCTTGCAAGTCAGAAGCTTGTTATTCACTCACTTTTTTTTTTTGTTTTCATTTTATAATGGCTTCCACTCTGCACCCAGCTGATGGATGCCACTAGTAAACTCCAGCAAAGGGCACGTGCTCAAGAAAGCAAATGCAAATGTATATCGATAATTTTAAAAATATTATCCTCAACACACTGCCTATTTATTTTCATTTTACTATCAGGGTTCTTTATCTTTACTTGATGTAGAAAAGCTGATAGCCACTGTGTGAAGTTTTACAGACTTAGGTAAATGTCTTAAGATTTTTAGCTTGTTCTTCAAGTATAAAATGAAGTTACAGTTGATTGAATTGTCTGTTTCACAAGGGTGTCCACACTATGTGAAGGGAGGGGTGAGGGAAGTTCCTATTTATATTAATGCATTTGAAAGTGTTTTTTAAAAAACAAAGTGTATTCAAATGTGCAATATAACATTGGATCTCCAGTTGGTATTGGCTCCTATTCTGATACTCTAACCTCACTATTATCAATACTATTCTATAAACAAAGACATAAAACTGTTAAGAGGTACTAGAGAGAAAATTACGGTATTTCCCTTTAATGCAAATCATCATCTCCTGAATTGTTTGGTTTGTAAATATGTGTTTTATATGATGACTGTCTTTCTAAGTGTGTGCTCTTCAAATTAAAATGTACCAAGCTTTATAAATTAAACATGCTATTCATGGCCATCAGTAGGGCAATGAAAGAAAGTTCAGGGAGCGTTCCCTGAGTGTAAGTAACATATTCATAGGTAAGGGATTCCAATCCATAGCTATATTATGCCAGTGTTATTTTTACAACCATCAATAAGACAGAAAAACACAAAGGCTGATTGAATTGTTAATGCTAACACATTTTTGCTTCGTTCGTGTCTCCCTGCCGCCCTACGCAGAGAGTGCAGCATCCACATGAGTGTCCCTCCTGTGGAGGCTTTGGCTTCCATCCGTGCTCCGTGTGCCATGGGAGCAAGATGTCAGTGTTTCGAAACTGCTTCACAGACTCTTTCAAAGCCCTGAAGTGTACAGCATGCAACGAGAACGGTCTTCAGCGCTGTAAGAGCTGTGCCGGTTAAGCGGAGCTTCCATCCAGGGAAAGCCTCTCTTTATTAACTGAGGCAATGATTTGGTTTATACTTTTTTAAAAATGGTCATGTTTATGGATTAATCAATAAACTTCATTTATTATAATTGCCTTTGTTTTGAATTTTTTCCTATGACCATTTTATTTGAGTTATTAAATAAATGTTCATTTAACAGCTCTATGTGCCAAACCCTGTGCTAGATTGTGGTTTCTAATTGGAGTTACCGGGTACCATTCCTAGATATCCAAAGTGAGACTCCTTAAATGTGTTTGATTTTCTAAAGAAAAGACAAAATCTATCTAATGGTGCCTATTGCCGTGTCACCCTATTGATGAGTTAATTCAACTCTCCAGGTATACAACACATTCCTATGCATGTCCCAGCTGTGAGGAAGGAGAGGGCTCTGGATAGGGGGAAATAATATGATAATATTTACTCTTAAACAGGAAAAAATTTTTAAGTCTTGGAGTTGATGATATTAATGATAAATAATTAACGTTAGTAGATGGATTTCTTAGTGATGATTAAATAAAAGCTGCTAGAAGACTTATCTGGACTTATTTTTTTTTCAAGCAGCTTCTTTGTACTGTTTTCACAGAAAGTCCTCCAAAAGGCTGCTATTATAGTCCTGTTGAGCTGGACACAGACAACTATTTAGTTTGAACACATAGTAGACAATGATAGCAAAGTGGACAGAAGAAATTTTGCTATAATTCTTGGCTAATGCCTAACTGTACACACATCTGTACCTTGATGAATTCCTTTATCAGTGATTTCAATAAATCACCTTCACAATATTTGTAATAAGATCATCAAAATATTTAATCTTTGGTTTTATAAAAAGCTACAAATATTTACCAAATTCTTTCTTCTCAGCTAGGCACAGTATACAGTATAATTTCTGCTTTCATGGTGCTTACCCTCTAAGAAAGAAGAAAGTACTAAATAACTATAAGCAGGATGAAACCTATAAATAGTAAATGAAACCATGTGCTATGGGAATATATAGAAGAAGGAGCAACCTAGATAAGTTAAGTAATGGGTACAAAAAGAGTGTTGAGCACAGATATTTAAACAGACATGAAGGATAATTGGAAACTCACTGGTCCAAGAGCAAGAGGGCCTGCTTCAGGGAAAGGATAGCGTATGTGGAGACTCTGAGGTCAGAGAGAAGTTGTATGTTTGAGGAATTGTAAGAAATCCAATATGGGGAGTTTCAGTCTGGTAATAGTCGAACAGTTTATAGCAGACAAAGTATACTGTTAATAACACATCTATCATGAACAATATAGTACAAAAATAAACAACTGTTCAAGGTGTTGGAAAGCAACTAAAAATAGAAAGAAACAGGAAGGGATTCAATCACTAGACAATGAGAAACAAAATTAACCCCACATTTATCCAGTTTATCCTCTGCGAGCACTCCCCATATTGCATCAACTGTAGTTCATAAAGAAAGTGCAATGAAACTACAGACATCTTTAAAATGTTGCTATCCAATCCAAAGACATGGTGGATTTCTCTGTGTATTTGGATTTTACATAATTTCTTGGCAAAATCTGCACTGTAGTTTTACATGTAGAAGTCTTATGTATTTTTTTGTAAGATTTATTCCATGTACTTGAAGTTTTCTGAAAGTATTATAAATTGTGTTATTTTAGTTTTTTATTCTAAGTGTCTGTTGCATGTGTATTTTATTTCTAATTTTTTCTAATGACCTTGAATACAACAATTTTGTTGACTTCACTTTGAGGTTCAACAGTGTGTAGATTCCTTTGGATTTCTATATCCCACTTGTGTTATTTACAAAAAATGAACTTTATTTTCTTCCAATCTTTATGGCTTTTTCCTTGTCTTATTTAAGACCTTCACCACAATGTTGAATAGAAGTGATAAAAGTAAACATTCACATACTCTTCCTGAAACAAAAAAGTTGGAATTTGGGGCTGCAGTGCCTGGAAATGAATGGGAAATTCTAAGAAATGAGAAGACCAAAGAAGAATCCCTAGATCTGTCTATTAATTCCACTCAAACCTTTGGCTGATTCCTAATCTCTATACACAGAGTAATATCTGGGGAGGAGTTTCAATGTGTGAGGTTTTCCTCGACACTGCCAAACAATTCTCTGATACCACCTGGGCATCCTACAACTCAACTTAGCACTGACACCATCTGAAGATAGTGTCAGATCCCACAGGTTAATGACTCAGTCCTATAAGACTGTCCTCCCTCTGGTGTTTCTAACCAAGTGGCTATGGACAAACATTAACTCCTTGGGTTTGATTCATTTTCTAGAGCCGCTCACAGAACTCAGAGAAATATTTTACTTAATAGGTCACAGGCTTATTACAAAAGGATATAACTCAGGAATAGCCAGATGGAAGAGATACATAGGACAAAGTATGGGGTAGGGATGCATAGCTTCTATGCCTCCTACAGGTGCACCGCTCTCTGAATTTCCATGTTTTCACTAACTCAGAAGCTCTCAGAACCCTTTCCATTTGGGGTTTGGTGAAGGCTTCCTAACGTAGATGTGATTGGCTGAATCATCGCACACTGGGAATTGATTCAACCTTTGGTCCCTCTCCAGTGCCGATGGGTCAGAGTGGGACTGCAAGTTCCAACCCTCTAATCACAACATTGCTTCCCATGCACGGGACCACTATCCTTAGGTGAAGTCCAAAATCACCTTGTGGACCAAAAAAAAAAAAAAAAAAAAAAAAAAAAGGCATTCTTATGTCTTTACAACTAAGAAATTCCAAGCATTTTAAGGAGTTCTGTGCTAGAAGAGGGGATGAAGACCAAATATGTATTTATTTTTATAAATCACAATTACACAGAAGAAAAGTAGATAAGAAGCCAAAGATTTACATTGAGAGTTCAATAGCTGCCCATGTAGTGAAGTCAAAGTTGGACCTCACAAAGAAAAACATGAACCTTTCCTTGTAATCTCACAAGGGGCCCATCTTTAGACTAAGGCCAGGAATTAAAGGCTGTGTTGTAGAGTGAAGAAAAAAAATAAAACAGACATCATCAGAAGGCATAAAACCAAACTTCCATGGTGGTATGGTTATCTTTTAGTACTTGACTACTTGTTAGAATGAAGCTCAACACTCAAATGAAGAATAGAAGGGAACTTGTTGAATAGGAAAATCTACAGTTAACATAATATTTAATAGTTTATAAAATATTAAATCCTTTTCCCTTAATATCAGGAAGAGTGCATGAATGATCACTTTCATCACTTCTATTCAAAATTGTGATGGAGGTCCTTCCTAATGAAATAAGGCAAGAAAAAAAGCCATAAAGATTAAAAAAAAATAAAGCTCATTATTTGTAAATAACACAATTAGGATGCAGACAATCCAAGTGAATGTACAAACTGTTGAACCTCAAAGTGAAGTTAACAAAATTGTTGAATTCAAGATCATTAGATAAAAATTAGAAATACAATACACATGCAGCAGATCCCTAGAATATATAATTAAAAGAACACAATTTATATATATATAATACCACCAGAAAACATCAAATACATGGAATACATTTTACAAAAGATGTGTAAGACTTCCACATTTAAAACTATAGTGCAGATTTTGCTGAGAAATTATAGAAGATCCAGATACATGGAAAAATCTACCATGTTTATAGATCAAGTGGCAACATTTTAAAGGTGTACATAGCTTCCATGTTGTTTCAATTAAGATCTCACCAGATGTTTTGTAGAATTGACCCATTATTCTAAAATTATATGAAAATGCAAATAATCTAGTATTCAAGAAAATTTTAAACAAGTAGAGTAAAATAAGTCTAGATAAATAGGTCAATGGAATCTAGTAGAAAATATAGAAGTAGATGCACACAATAAAGTCAATTGTTTTTCTGGAAAAATGCCAATTCAAAGCAATGGGTAATGGAAAATCTTTTTGACAAATAAGATTACTAGATTTCCAAATGGAGAAAAATGACTTCAGAAACGACTACTACTACCACTGCTACCACTACTGTTGCTGGCACCTAATGGCCAGAGGTCAGGGATCCTGCTAAACATCCTGTAAAACACAGGGCGACTCCTCCCCTCCAGAAAGGACTATCCAGTCCAAAATGTCCATAGTGTCAAGACTGTCAAACTCTAATCTAAATGTTAAAGACAATCTTTACCATATTAGACAAATATTTTTGAACAAGTCACAAGATGCTTAACTATAAAAAATAATAAACTGGACTTAATTGAAAGTTAAAATCTCTTCATTAGAAGACATTATTTAAGAAAACGAAAAGGGAAGCCACAACTAGAAGGATATAGTTCCTACTTCCAATATCTGCCAAAGGATTTACATCTAGGTAATTTAAAGAGTTCTGAAAAACCAGTAATAAAGACAATCTAATAAAAATGTAGAGAACAGACACTTCATAAAAGAAATATATGGGTGGTTAAAAACATAGGAAAATATACATCATTAGTCAACAGGTAGTGCAAATTAAAACCACAGTGTGCTCCTAGTACACCATATTTAGAAGAGCTAAAATATGAAAAGACTTAAAATGTAAAGTGTTGGTGTGGCTATGGAGCAACTGGAACTCTCATACATTGTTTATGAGAATATTATGTGGTACAACCACTTAGGAAAACCATTGATACATTCAATGGAGGTAAACATATTGTGTACTTGACAATTTTACTACTAGATGTTTATTCAAGAGAATTAAAGACATGTGTACACATGATAGACTAATTTCATGGAAGCTGTATCATTCATCGCTAAAAAGTGAAAAGATCTCAAATGCCCACTGACAGAAGAATTGATAAGCAAATTGTGATATTATCATAAGGGCACACCACCTAGTCAAACAAAACAAAACAAAAACAAAAACAACAAACTATTAATTCTATCAATCACATGAATGAATCATAAAAACATTATGTGAATAAATTAGACAAAAAGGTTTTGTACTATATAATTCCATGTACACATGGGTGTGGCAAAATA